TGGGTACAGGTTTTGCTGCAACATCAGAGCAAAGCAAGAGAGGGACTGTGTCCTGAGGTCTCTCATTTTAAGTAGAAAAGTACTATGGGAATCAAGCAAAGTGACTGAAAGAACGAGGGTAAGAACACTTTTACTAGCACTTTTTTTTTCTCCATAGAAGTTTTGGTTTTTAGTTTGTGTTGTAGGGAAGGAACACAAGAAGAGGGCAGGGACTGAAGACTGTCAGAAAAAAAGGTTTGAAGCAGGGGCTATAAGATAGGGGTCATCTCAGAGAGCACCTGTAGCTCTCACAGCTGCATAAAGAAGTGGTACACACTGCCTCGTCATCAAGTAGCACATATCCCAAGGCAAGATTGAGGGAAAGGAAGGCTGAGGCTTGTACTTTGTCCCAGCCTATTTCACAAATAGGAAGTGCCTGGACTGTCACGGTATTGGTGTGATGTTTGATACCTTTCTGTATCATCTCACCTGTACCTCATATCTACCAATGTTACTTCAGGGCTATGACTCAATTTTTTCAAAGTTGAAATATTTTTAATTAAGCACACTGGCTTAAAACCCCTCTCTACATGCCCTCAGATAGTACCATTTTCAAGAATATTGTGGGTGCAATTCAGTGCTAAAAATCATGTAAGGCAGGACTCCACGGGAAAGTGAGATACCAAAGAGATTGCCATTTGTGAATGGCCAAGAGGATAATACTAGCTGTCCCTCATCTATCATCACTGGTTCTTCTGAAAAGAATTGTACACTTTGGGGAGATGAACATATATTTTTTAATTATGCTTTTGGGGAATGAATGTATATTTGCAGATACATGTCAAAATACATTCCTGGTCTCCAAATTCTTAATCTGTAGTAAAAGAAGATAACTTATGTGCCAGACGGCTAACAGTTTTATAGCTGAAGCAGTTTTCAACATGGAAGATGATTCAACCAGAGCTGGTGGCTCAGTGGACTTACTCATCGTTGCTAGTAAATAATATCACCAGTTTTTCTACAGTCAGATCAAGTACCTGCTTGAATTGTAGTGGAGATTAAAAATGAAGTAAAACAAAACCAAAAAAGATGGCTTGACTGATTCAAGATCCTCAACTCCTCTCAAAGAAATGCACAAGAATTTAAATACTGCATAACTACACTAATGGTAGTTTAGTTTGCAATTTTTCTGATTTAATGAACAAGTTTAAATAGATAATGCATTTTGTAATAAAAAGAATTTCAGAAAGTGACTCCAAATGTAACAGAAGTCTTCTTTCAAACCAAATTACAAAGTTCAATGATTCTCTTCTTAAAAACAAGTGGAAAAACAGAAGGTAATATGAAAAAGTGCTCAAGAATCTGAATGATACTGGTGAAGTTCTACTGTGAATTGAATACAAGTATGGGGGGGGGGGGGGGGAGTTTTGTTGTGGCTGAGTGTAAACTAGAAAGTAGAAGACCAAGAGGGTTTTGGAAGTATTGCAAAAGGAAATAAGGAGCACTGAAATATATCAAAGAGAGTGGCAAGTCTGCAGAGCAGAAGAGGATGGAAAAAGAACTGGGTTGTCTTGTTACGGCACTGCAATGGAGGTACATTTATTCCTTGGAAATAAACTCCAATCCAATACCTTTAGTATGCTGTAATTCTATAGCCATCAGAAATAGAAATCAGCATAAAACCCAGTGCGGACAAATATCAGTTCCTGAAGCACCCAAATACAGGAATGTTGATGCAGTCTTTGTAACAGAATTGTATTTTCCTGAGGAAACAGTAGAGTGCATAGCCATGATGGTATCCCCATGGGGAGTAATCCTTATTTACCTGGAACACATTAAATCTGCCTGACAGACCTCTCCAAAACTCTGCCTAAACCAGAAAAAGGAAAAGATTGAAAATACTTAGCATGATAACAGTGGTAGGGCCATCCAGAAGAGAGGTTTGAACAGAACACTACTTTTATTTTCATGCTAATAATAATAAATTCTGAACTTTACTTAAACTGAGGAGCAGTAGGTCTTTTGAAAAAGGATACTAGCACATACCAAAAGGACCGGACTTTGAATTCATCTAAGGAGACATATTTTAAGACATGACATAGTCAATGTAACTACTTCTAATAAAAGTTACTTCTCTAAAAATATTTGAAACTGAATTGCATTCTTCCGCCATTATTAGGTTTGTTTGTCTGTAGACATTTATAAGATAACAAAATTCATTGTTTTCTTTATGCAATATAGAAAGTGATGAGTTTTCTTTTTTTAAGAAAACCTTTCAAAAATGTGTTTAAGTTCCTTGCATGTCATTTGATCCACCACTTCAGAAATACAGTGATAATTTAGAGATATTTGGAGGAAAAATCTGGCATGATATTCCTTTCTCAGTTACAAAGCTTCATTACAATTACAGGATACTACAGCTTTCATTTTACTCTTTTCATAGCTCTATTTTATGAGCAATAAGTGATGGAAAAAGAAACAGACCTAAAAATTTTTATTAAAAACTGGCCCAAATTTAATAGAATCCAGGTTCAGCACAAAAGAGAGTATTCTCTGTCATAGAGGATAACAGTTGTCTGCAGAGGTGGAGTCTTGTCCTACCACACTAGAGATCGTTGCGTCCAGCCTGGAAAGGCCACGTAACTCCACACCACTCATTCAAGAGAGAAACCGGGGTGGATATTGGAACACTAGCATCAAAACCTGGTCCCACAAATGTCCGTGATGTCTTACTGACTATAATTCAGTGTGCCAAAACTGAAGTGTTTGGAATTGGAAAAAAAAATTTGCATACTTTGGTACCAAGAAAATTAAAATCCCAGTTTACTTTTTCCATTCTGTGAAGTATCAACCACAAGCCACGTCTACAGAAATCCATGGCTTTAAGGTTGGTGAAATGAGACCTCAGCTTTTTGTGGGTTTTCTTTTGTTTTGCAGTGGGTGGGGGGGGGGGAGTGGGTGGGCAGGTGGTTTAATTAACATAGCTTATAGAGGGGACAAAACCATAAAAGGGAAAAAATGTGGAAGATCTAATAGGTAGGTAACATTATGAGGTAGTAACAGAAGTAGTAGAAATAATTACTATTTGCATTTGGGGCAATATGTATTGAAAGCTATTGACATAACCCTCAGAATTTGTATTTATTATTCACATTTAAGGGCTGGAGGGCCTCTTGGTTTTTACAGCAAGATGGAATTAATGTATAATATACATGGAAATTATTCAATATTTCAGTTAATGGAGATATGAATGGATAACACGATCTAAAATAAATACTAATGTATATTATTAAACAATTCAACCCAGTCAGCCCAAATAAAAGAATCTGTCTTCAAAAAGATGACAGTGCTTTTCTTGTGGTAGCTTTTCTCAAATGAGGTGCTTGACAATGAATGGATAGAAAGAATATACAGCAGGTGTACCTCTAATGTTCAGTTTTCTCTTCTAGTAGGGAGATTTAAAAAAAATGCACTTAGTTATATATAAATACTTTTCAAAAGCTCACATATAGGGAAGAAAATTCCCTTTACAAAAAAAAAATCTGTTAATACCTACTCATTTTTTTTTCTTTTTTTATATATATTCTATATCCTAGGCTTGTGACACCATTTCCTAGTTCTACCTTAAGCACTGAGGCTAAAGTCCTACAAAACAAACAAGCCTCTTTCCTCCCCAAAAAACAATTTAAAAAAATTTGTGTCAGTATCTCTACAGGCAGTGTACAGCCACGGGAGAAGAGAATTAAGTTTGCCGAAGTTACAGTAAATACGGAACTTCTTAATTTTGTATTTTTCTCTCTAGGAAATTATAAAACTCTGCCTCTTGTAACTATACAAACATTATCAGAGCTTTGGGATCACCAATACTTGACACTGTGTTTTAGCATTGAAGGATCATTTTCATTGCTTAAATTCCAGAATTAACTTACACCAGGAAGCAGTAGAAAAGTTCACAGTCTCGGAGGTCATGCACAGCAAAACAGATCATATAAACTTTTTATTCTCTGCTGAGCTGCCTGCCATACAGTGCTGCTGAAGGTAGCCATTGGCTTTGAAGGGTATCAGCCAGGTACAGCAGGATAAGTTTTTGCAATTCTGAAAATGTCTGCCTCCAGACTCCAAAAATATCTTACCACTGCACTTTTTCACCATGGTACCATATTGTGAGTTGAAATGGAACCTCTAATTAGTCCATGTGAACTGTTTGACATTTCATGCTTCTGAATGTTAAGGTAAAAAACAGAAGTCTGAGTAGCAATCTTTCACCACGACACAGAAAAATGTACACATAAATGAGTATGAGTCCACAGACTTCAGCTGAGCTATTTCAACCCAGTTTGACTGAGGATCTGGCTTTTACTCTTTGTTTTGAGGAGGATCTCAAGGCATAAACAGTAATTTTAGAGTGACAAAACTCAAAAACTTCAAGCTATGTGTTTAAGAAACTAAAACCCATCAAAACCAACATAACTTCAACACATAAGTGCTATTTTTATATTCAAAAAATCTCTCTGCAATACAGTGCTTGATTCCAAAACACAACAGCTCATCTGCACATTTGCAGCATAAATCCCTGAGACTTAAAATATCCTTCTGAGGGAAAGAATACTGAAAATAACGCCTAGGAATGAAGAAACATGCCTCCCTCAGTGAAACGTTCAAATAAGAGGTTAGACATCTGAAAAAAATTATCTAGGTAAACACGATTCTGCTGTAGTACAGGGATTGGATCAAATTATTTCAATGCTTTTTCTATATTCCTGTTGGGGTTTTTTTTCCCCATTATTGTGAGGTGTTAGACCTTCGGCTCCACCTTTGGTCTCTTGGTTTACCATTTCTTATGCCTTCAACGGCCCATATCGTTGTGTGGTAAGCCTTCACAAGTTGGATGCTGACCCCTTGACACCTCAAATTCTCCAAGTAGAAATGTGGTATGTCCTCAGCACAATTAATTACTCAGTGCTACTGAAGGTAGTCACCTATGTTTGTGCACCAAAAGATGCAAATCTGTCTGTACTCACCCCAGTGGGCAGACACAACCTGAAACACAAGGAAGGTGTGCTGAGAAAGTGAGGTTTAGCAGCTGATTCTCACAAGTTCTCTCTCTGCTAAGTTCAGGATCAACTTGTGGATTACTGCAGTTAATATAAATCTGTCCAACTGGGCAGCTGTGTGCTGGGGGAAAAAATTGACAAACACATTAGTCTTCACACCTGAAATTTTGTATTCCGTAAAGGCGTACAATAGATTTAGACTGAGAATATGTAACACAAGTGTAACATTCAGTAACACCAGTAACATCCAATTGCCTCTCTCCTGAGCACAGTTAACTTCATAGAACCCCTACAAATCTCATACAAAATACCAAAATGAATATATTCATTTAGTAAGGGACATGACTTTCTAAACAGTTAGTCAGGAATCAGCCCTCCAAAACAGAAATGCAAAGTACTACCAACAGAGAAACAGAAACCAAAAAATATCAAGAAAAGGTTTGAGCTAGATGTGACTTTCCATGCTGGAGCCACTGACTAAGAATGAAACAACTCTGTTGCATGATTGCTTTTGGGTTGTGCTGAGCATACTGTGTATATGTAACAAATGCCCAAAGCAGTGGCAGCGTTTTAAAGGGTTTTTTGTTAGTTGCTGGGATTTGTTTGTTTATTTATTTATTAGGGAGAAAAGTTCTGGATAATTGTCAAATCAGTACAACCACCAGCTTCAAGTGCATGGGGAACAGATTTCTACTAAAGGCCAAGGAGTTGGCAATTCTAGAACTGAAACCTCAAATAAAAGTCTTTCTCACTGAAGTAAAAGGAGCATCATAACAAGAGTATGGACCATAATACTTAATGACATATAAAATACACTGTAATAGAAAAAGCACTTGTTACATTCTTTTGCTTAAGTATGACAAAAGAAATACTATTTTTTCATATTTCAGTTACTTGGGGTTTGTGGAAGGAAAGAAAAAAATATCTGTGAAAAAATACTGCCAGTGTTCAGTTCCTACAGCCATGTTTTACGGGACAAAGCTAACCTTTGTTTGTTCTACTGAAGTTCTGCTGTTTGTCATGCAGCTGAGCTTATTTACATTAGCAATCTAAAAAAAAAAATAATCAGTATTTTAAAGCACTGGGAAAAAAAGTTGCTCAGATTTAACAGTATTCTGGACAGTTATACAGCTGCTTCGCACTAGCCTTTCTTTCAATCACACAAATATATAATTCCTAAATTACAGATTCCCTCCTGCAAGTTATTCATTTGTACATATTTCTCCACTCACCTATTATGTTGTTATCACAATTCATTACTCCATCCCTGCAATGGCTGCAAAAAAATACACGAAGACGTAATGAGAGCCAGGAAGATCTAAAATATCAATGTTTTCCATTCAATAATGAAGCATGCAGTATGAATCAATACAAAATAACTGTATAAATGTTTGCATTGAACATTAGAACTGTGGATAAAGTGTGCACTGCCTTAACACAAAGAATATTAATTACACTTCAAGCTTTTGCTTTCTGCATAACATTACTAAGAGTTAAAATGCCTGGGCTGACATAAAAATACATACAGGAATACACCACTTTACTGCTTCCAAAGACATCAGTGCAGTAAGAATAAACCAAGCCCTGTACATAACAGAATCATCATTATCTAAAACAAAAACGCAATGAGCAATAGCAGCAAAACAAAACCAAACCCTAAACACACATATGTATATGTTACAGCAAGCTCTGGGTATATAACTCTTATATGAACACTCTTAACATTATTATAAATGCTCCGTTTTTGTCACCATCAGCTTAGAATTCTGCTGAAAAGCAAGCTATTAGTTTATGTGAAAATCTTGATGATACCAACAGTTCTTAAGTTATCCCACAGTTGAAGGTAAAATCCCAATGTTGAATATAACACAATCACAAGCTATTGTGACTGCAACAATTTTTTGTACTGAACTGGAGTGACTTTTCCCCAAGCAAAACATAGTAACAATAGATTGATAACTTTGTCTTTTCTCAACTGCTCCTAACGTGGATCATGAACAAACTATCCATCTGAAAACATGTCACAATATCATGAATTTCTATCTCATTTATAACAAAATGAATGTTTCAGTTATTTTAGTGTTCTTGGCTCACATGAGGAAACAGTGATGCAGTTACTAATTTTGATCCTCATGCTGTCTCAAACTAATTTTGCTTCAGCAATATCATAGAATCATTAAGGTTGGAAAAGACCTCTAAGATCATTGAGTCCAACCGTCAACCAACACCACCATGCCCACTAAACCATGTCCCTGAGCGCCGCATCTACTCGTCTTTTAAATACCTCCAGGGATGGGGACTCAACCACTTCCCTGGGAAGCCTGTTCCAGTGTTTAACAACCCTTTCAGTGAAGAAATTTTTCCTCACGTCCAATCTAAACCTCCCCTGGTGCAACTTGAGGCTATTTCCTCTCATCCTATCGCTAGTTACTTTGGGAGAAGAGACCGACACCCACCTCGCTACAACCTCCTTTCAGGTAGTTGTAGAGAGCGATGAGGTCTCCCCTCAGCCTCCTTTTCTCCAGGCTAAACAACACCCCAGTTCCCTCAGCCGCTCCTCATAAGACTTGTTCTCCAAATATGATATGATTGGAATCTGGAATAGCAACCTCCTGTGACTATTATCAGAACCAACTGGAACTACAGTTCATAATCAGAACCTACAAAAATTCAAACAACTTTATGCTAATCAAGATTCAAAATAAAAATTTTAAGTTAGTGTATCATAAAGCTTGCAGTATGTATACCCATTCACATATGGAAAATATTACAGACAGGAACAGACACAACATGTTTCCCCCACGTGACACAGTTCAGCAAAGAAACAAGCAAACTGCATAAAACTCAACCCTAACAAGATACTGTATGCAGGGAAGCACTGAGCAACATAAGTCTGCTCCTGTCTAATTCCAGCCAAAATAGTCTAGTACTTTTATAAAATGGTAGCAGATCTGATAGCAACTCATTGTCAGGGAAAAAAAATGTAGCTGCACTGGCTTCATTTCAGGTCCTGTGCTTCACTAGTGAACCTGAGCCCATAACTCCAGCACTATTCTCCCATTCTTTTGCAATAGCTAAGACGTCCCCAGTACACCTACTGCTAGTCAGCAAATTCAGAATCAAATTCTGTATGTGCTACAGCCACTCTGCTGTTATGTTTGGAGTTATGTATGTACCCCAAAGCATGGCAGGAAAAGTGTCCTAGCTCAAGGACTTCACAGTATAACTCAGCCAACAGGCAAAGCAGTACCAAAGGGAACTGCTAGGGAGGCAACTCAAATGCTGACATAATGTCGGTATCAGAATGAAAACATTTTAAAGAACTGATTGAAAACAACAGAGCAGAAAGGCTACTCCATAGACAAACATGAGAAGAAACTCCAGTTTGAAAGTGGAGTTCCAAAGAGGAAGTGCTTGAGAAGAAAAAGGACGGAGAGAGCATAATAAAGATCATAATTGTTTCTAATAAAAACAGTGACAGATAAAAAAACCCAATACATCGTGTGTATTTTTTTCCAGTTCATCCACACATATAGTCCTAACATGATTCTTAATGTATTACTTAGCACAAGGTAATTAAGAGGACCTGACAGTCTGCACCTCCATGTTTGAAAGCCTTTCCTCTCAACAGTTATGTATACAGCCTTGTTAAAAAGCGGCAAGCAAAAGTCATGACTAAATAGGAGACATAGATCCCTTATTTTATCTTAAAGGCTAGTAGTTGAAAACCAGTAGATATATTTTAATTAACACATTCACATGAAACATAAGCTGCCAGATCCCAAATAACTCCACTAAAATCAACAGAAAGATGATTTTCACCTGTAGTCATTTCTAAAAAAAAAATGCATTTGTGGATGATCACATGATCAGCGTGCATTCAGCCAAATATCCACCATAGTGCTTAGCATAATTAGCTAAACTAGACCCTTGAGGAGGAGGATGAAAGGAAACAAATCAAAACCCCTTCCCATGGCTGCCAGTGCTGTCTGGCACATGCTCTATGAGCAAAAATATCCAGGAAGGCAGGCAACAGTGCACCTAGACTTTGCACAGCCCCGTAGGCAGAATGGGTTGTCTGGTACTCTCCAGGGAATCTGCCCTAAGGTAAAGATGAGCTAACTTGACGATTAAGATATAGATTTATAATGATCAGTATTTATGGACACTAGGCTGCTGACAAGAGTGAGAATGAGTATGTGTGTTTACTAAGTGTTCCTATTGCAATAGGTGTCTGACAATATTAATCTCTTATATGGCCTTTACAATGAACCAAAGTAGCACGCTGATCTACCACAGACATGATTCGGTCTGTTCTGCTTTTAATTAAGTGCTGTAACAACTGATACAGGCAGTGAGAACTCAAACGTTACTTCAAGAAAAAGAATTCTGAAAGCTTGGTTGGTTTTTTGGGTGGGGTTTTTTTTTGTTTGTTTTTAACAGAACTTGTTGTCCACATTATTTATCCTTCTCCAGACAGAACTAACAGTTGAAAAGGATGCATCTGGCACCAGCCAGAATAGTTTAACAAGTTTTCTCCTTTAGTGTTATGACTATAATGATGCAAACAGAAGAGCAAGAGGACAAGAACAAATGCGAAATGTAAGGAACAATAACAGCAATGCTTATTTACCTTTGGCTGCACCTGACAGTTATTTGTGTTGTTTCTTAGTTGGTAAAGCCACATTGCTCTTTTACACTGATTCTATACTAGTGGAATACAGATTCTTAATTATTCTTCATAAATCTGGTATAGGGAAGGAGAACAGCAATGAAGGTCTAGCTGAACAGACTTGAATGGATAGTCAGGAAATGTCTGGGGTTTTCTGGAGCTCTCCACATTAGTATGGATCTACAAAATTATAGTGGTTTTTCTCTTTACTTTGCACTTCAGTATATTTGATTATAAGCACAGCAGCATGAAAACCTAGCTTCTAAAGAAGCTCTGTCCAAACATGCACAGAAAGCCAATGTAGGTTTATTCTGTATGTCATTAAAAAAATACCAAAAACAACAAAAAAACCCCAAGAGGCTAGCCAGAATGATTCGACAGAACTCTTAAAAAAAGACACCATTTAGTGAGGTGAAAAAACAGTTTTGTATCTTACCATTTGCCCAAAGATGTCATAACATTTTCTCCAGGGGAATAGTCAATTCCTTGAAAATAACACGGACATTCATTTCTGGAGCAGAGGAAAAACATGTAACTGTGATTAATTCAAACTGAAGGAAGAAAAAAAAATTCCCATTGACTTAATTGCTGCTCAAAGTTCAATTGGTTGCTTTGTTGGTTTTGGTGAGGTTTTTTGGTTGGTTGGGGGTTTTGTGTTTTGTTGGTGGTTTTTTTTTTTTTTAAATACAAGAAACTGATCTAAATACTGCCATATAACTTGAGCACACTCCAAACCAAATCAGTAACTAAGAACCTCTACACAACAATGGACACCTTTTGTATCTCTTATATGCCAAAAACCAGACAATAATGTCAATGATTGTGATTAATCATTAAGCAAACAATAATGTTAATCATTGTTCGATGAGTGTCAGTACTATAAAAGAGCTATTTTTGATGAATATACACATTCTGTATAATTCTAAGATCCCGCCAAGTTTACAGATGCATAATATCTACAAGATTACATGTTTATTAGCTTTTCACTCTGACTTGCAAATGCACTGGTCTAAAATAGTGGGCGTGACTATCAGAATTGCAACTTTACCTACCTCTGTACACATCGTTCAGTCTTGGAATTCAAATACATTCCAGAGGGACAAGCACAGCCTTCAACACAATCACTGCTGCATGTCTCTGGCACAGACAGTGCTTGGCAGGTTCTGCCACAGGTAGATACACAAGTACTGTACTCCTTTGTATCTTCACATGAAAGAGCTGTCCAAATGAAACAAATCTCTCAAATTACAGTGCAAGAGACTCAAGTACCTCCCAACAGTTTTCTGATAAACATCTCTATTCTTTCATTCCCAATCACATTAAATTCCATTAAAATTGCTATCTTGGCACTATGCTGTGTAAACTACACAGATGTAAATCTGCAGTAATAAAGAGTACAATGAAGTCTACGTAGTTAATCCAGATTTACACTAGAGAAACCGAACAGTTGAAGCTTTTTTCCTCTAACTCTGAAAATGCTTGGCTCTTGTGCATGGGCTTTGGGAAATGCACAGCATCTTAAAGAAAACATTAAAAAAGCAATATAAAATGCGTGTACTTTGCAGATGTTGCACAATACCATCTTAAGTTTTCTTATACGTATATATAGATATATATCTCCTTATATATCTCCTATAAAGTTCTACTTAAAAAAAAAAAAAGAGATCTGAAGTTCTTGAAATACTAAAAAGATTCACATATTTTATACCCTACAAGCATGACTTTTTAAATATATTCTAATAAGACTATACTTGTTTCTGGAAAAGTAAAGTAAAATTAAATGGTTTGATTGATTCATTCAGTCATAGTGGACCACAGCCATTCGTGCCATAATGGCTGCAAGCAAGCCAGCCTTTTCAGATATACATACAGATACTCCAGCTTGAGATACTTAAGCTGGACCAACTTTCCAAAATCCTCTTTATCATGCATTACAACATGGAAAATTACATGATGTGATGTAAACTACCAGATGTTAAATTCTTGAATATTCCTTAGAAAAGATTTTCAGACTTGTTTATGGAGCCAAACCTACTGAAACATCAGGGGTGTCAGTTTAGGGTTGTTTTACAGGGTTTCCAATTCTATAATTTTAAAAAAATGTAGATGAGGGTACTACATGTCCTATCAACATCTCTTGCATCACTAAAAGTTCATATAAACTGAAGATTTTAATAATATCATCCCACTCCTCTACTTGTGAGGCTTTATAGAGCAGATAGACAAAGGTGACATCTGTTATCTCTACACTATCTATATTCTTCCATTCATTTTCAATTAAATATCAACAATACCAGTTCTCTACACTTATTTCAGCACTTTGTGTATTTCAGCATCACTGACAGTAAGAGAATAAGCTGAGATTGTCAGACAGCAGAAGTTGAGAATAATCCAGCTAAAACTGCTAAATACATCCCCATCATTTTTCATCTCATTCATTTAAAGAATTAGATAAACCTAGCATCTACGAGGAAAAGAACAAACCTATTTATGCAGCTCATGAATAATATCAACATGGGTATGAGATATTCAAAGCCATATAAGAGATGTATACAGAACTAAAAATATGTCTATATTTGAAGCCCTCCAACTCAACTACTTAAAAAAATCTTTGCATTGTTTCTTAAGTCAAAAGAACTAAAGAAAGCCAACTATAAAGGAACAATCCTCTAAAAACACTGGAACTAACTCTGTCTTGACAAAAAGAGAACCTTGTCCTGTACACAAAAGATCGTGCTGGAATTAATCCTCTTCTCGTTTAAAAGATTATATTCAATTAATTTTATTTTCTGATTGTCATTCTGAAGTCCTCAAACAGTAATTATTTAAGACTAGAAGTGAAAGGCAACTCACCGCAGTCTGGGACAACTCCTCTGAAATCTATTACAACTCCAAATCTTTGGCAATGATGAGCATAATGGGCCAGAGCAGAGCAAAAACAAATCTGTCCACATTTGCAAGTGTCTCTTCTGCACTGCTCAAAATAGGGAACAGGACTCAAATAGGGGTAGCATGGAGCAAAAAGTTCTTTCGTAAGGATGCTACAAGCTTCCACTGCATAAGAGGCTATACAAATAACAGATTAAACACTGTTTCAGTGAGGGAGTTTAAAAAGACTTGGAATAAAAAAAATGTCCTCTATACAATGCAACTAATATCATAGTTATATACTACTGCCATATATAACTTTATCTTGGATATCTATACAACTGTATGGAAGGACAGAAAAGAAGTTAGCTGGTCATAGTTTTGAACTTGTTCTGGAAATGATTTTAAGGCATTCTGAAAACTTTACAATACGCAGACATATATACATACGCCTACATACAGTCTCCTATCTTTAAACTGATTCATGGATGCGGGTTAGGCAACAGACATTACACACTACCCAGTGCCTTTCATAAACACACAGGATTACACATCTCTTCAGTTTAAGTCATTCCCAGTAACTACTTCAATAGGTCAGTATTTTAAAGAATAATCTGTTACCCACTGTTTCAGTTGCATAAGGCTGCAACCACACTCAGAGCTGCTAGCTTAGGGTAACACTATTGCACAGGAGAACAAGAGCAGTATCAAATGGTTACATAAGAAGCTCCAAACACAGCACTCATCTGAACATCTTAATTCTGAATGCATTAAATAATTGTGCAACAGTCAAAAGAAATAATATGCTACATTAGCATGCCCAGAAAGAGACAAATTTGTATTTCCCACAAAATAAGAGAGATGCATAAACCAGGACTTCAAAATTCCTTTTCCAGAATTTCTGACTTCCTATACAGGCCACTTTTTTCTACATTCATGTCCAAACCCATTACCAAGAATGCAGCTTCTTAGTGCTGCACATTGTATAAATACTCAAAAGACGGGATGATGATGTAGCAGGAGATGTGATGATTTCCTAGCACTACTGAAAGTACAGGCAAAACCTTAATCGATATTTTACCTCTGTATCTTGCCTAAAAGTGTGCAGATTCCAAGACAAGAAGTGGTAGGAACTGTGAAATGGATATAACTGATGATCTACAAAGTTCATCATTATTAAAGGATGTCTTGGTGAACATCTGTGGTCCTCGTGGCATTAGCCACTAGCATCTTTCCTCAACCGGACCCTCTCAGCTGAATCTAAATGCTGGCAGTGCATAAGTATCTTTCTCCTACTCATTCTCCTCCATAGCAGACAACTAAACCAAATGTTCCATTTTTTCAGTATTTTCAAAAATGAATACTGTAATACTTTTGAGTCTCCATCTTAACTAGCAGCATCACCAATACTAGACATACTACCAACCTTTAATGAATGTCTAACTTAACACATTGTAACTGCAAACCAGAAATAAAAAGGGGGTACTTCAAGTGCCTCTGCAAGTATCACAAAATACTTAAACAATATACTACATGATTTGTTAGGGGATTGAACTCAACAAATGCTACCTGTAAGTATTAATTTTTTCAGTGGGTAGGACTGGTTATTACTTTACCTGATCCAACTAGGAAAATTGGCACAGATATAATAAGTAGAAATGCATTTGTCAATAACAATTGACCTTCACTGCCCACCTGCCTGCAGATGAATATCACACGGATCCATTTGTGAACTGTCATGCACAAAAATGCACGCCGATGAAGTTTTCCATGTGTTTCCAAACAGCTCTGGAGTGCTTTCAGTTACTCCAACTGGAGATCTTTTATAAAACAGAAGTCAGTCACAAAAGATACAGTGTCTTTACAGAATGGTCTCAGTTCTATCACTCCCTTCAGCAGAGCTGATTCAAGCTCCCCTTCCACTGTCCCATATTCTCATGCACTCTCCCATAAAGCACTGTCAGCTTAAGTTTCAGGACTCAACTCTCTCCTTCCAGGCAAAGGGCCAGAAACGAAAGAGAAGATGTGCTCTGGAGCTATTAGATACTTTGTAATGAAGGACAGATCAAAACAGACCAAGTTCCATCTTCACAAGAGAGAAGGAGGGAGCACCACTGTCCTGAAAATCTGCACTCTCTTATTCATACTTCTGCCACCTCAGTGATATCCGATCCATTTTCATCTCTCCTCTACCTATAATTTCCTGTCTGTTCCTGGGTAGCTGACTGCCCAGGCTCTCTAGTCCCTGCAAGAAAGAGGAAGGAACAGAAGTCCAAGGGTCCAGAGATATAACTGCAAGAACAATTGAATAGATATCCATGAGGCCCAGGTAAGCAGAGGGGCAACAGAAGCTGAAAGACAGAAAGACTTTGATCAAAATAACCAAGGCACGTTAATATTGTATAGGAAGAATGACCGAGAGCATGCATTTAAACATGGGATGTTACACTCTAAGGAAAAGATTGCATTAGGCATACAACCAGTAGTATTACTTCTGGTAAAGTAACTGGGGGTAGAGGTGTTGCAAAAGACACCACTGTCTATGGCAAGTCTCCCAAATCTGGTGTGGATCAGGTGTTTTGTGTACATGTCAAGATGCTTGCACATTATGGTTTGTGTCATGTCTCAGCACAATTCTGAAGTTCCTGTAGTTTAAGGGCTTTTTTCACAAATATCAACTATTGAACAACTTCTCACTTATTTGAGAACAAGTCCAAAGACTGTCATCAAAAATACACTACAAAACTTATTTGCTTCAGAGAAATATTTTAAGTCCTTTTACATAAATAATATCTCTTCATTGAGATCCTGTCTATATATTTCCTAGTCTCGTTATAAACAATATTCTGATAATACTTTTTAATCTCTAAGATAGAAATTGTTCAAAAATCCACTAGAATATTTGTGTGTGTGTGTTTTTACATGGGAACTATTATGGAAAGTTTTCCCATTTTTCTATTAGTTTTGATTTTAAAAAATCCAACTGTTTTGAGAGAAAAGTCCTCCTACTCTTTTTTTCCTCTCAGTCAAAGAAATATTCTGTCATGATCTAAATTCATGTTCTCCTTCTCCCACTTCCATTAGGCTGCTTGATCCTCTGGAAGTGAATTTGTTCTTTAGTATCTGTAGGAAATATGCTGCAAAGAAGCTGGACAAACAGCAATCTTGACTGTGGTGCTCACGCAGCTCTGACCACCTTTCACTGCGTAACAATGAAGCGAAGCTCAGGCAACAGCCAACAGCCAATTTGTGTTGCCGGCCTGCAGACACTGAACAATGAAGGCTCTGTCAGACAGAGCAGATTAGAATTTGCAGCAGAAAACAGGAGCTGGAAAGAGATAAAGAGGCTTGCAGGGAGGCAGAAAGTCCCTTATATAGGCCATTCCATATTTTGGACAAAACTTTTCAGATAAACTAGCACTTACAAGTCATATATATTTCACCATTTTTATATTAAAATACTTTAAGTAAAACCTGGCTTGATATCCTGTAGTTGAAGTTACAGATTTTCTGTTAGCAAACAAAAACCTACTACCTATCTCACTAACACTAAACTTCAAAATAAATTATTCTTGGTATCTATCCATTCAGCTTCAGTACACACTTGATCTACCACTCTAACTGTAGATATTCATATACTGGCAAATAGAAATCTTGCAGCTATTCATACAAAAAATCATCCTCCGTATTTCCATTGAAGGTTCCACAAAGGCCCACAGTATCATCTCTCCACCGTCCATCAGCTTGAAGGTAAAGCCTCATTCCTTCTCTGTCATACAGCATCTGTAATCCAATGTGTGTCTTTACTTGCAGAAATACAGAGGAGAGTTTCCGTATTTCAAATAACTCTGGTGAGTAAAAGCAGAGATTGTTGAAAAGCAAAGGAAACCTGCTTGTAATTTGCATTTTGTTTCTTGTCATTTCATTGTTTTTGTTTTATATCATTTTTACGTAAGTTACATTTTTTCCTATTAAGACCTTATTTTCCCTAATCATTGATTTCTCATGAAAGGTTACACTGATTCACACGTTAAAGAAGAAAACAAGAAACTTACGACAGTCACCACACTTTTTAAAAACGCATCCAGAGTTCACTGGTATATTCATAAAGGTTAACTAAAAGCAAATCAATTTAAAGACACAAACATTGCAGATAACACTGCAGACCATTTATTTTAGACAACCTAATCCTAACACCAGCAACATGCTTCCTGTATTAAAGCCTTTTTTGGGAAATTCCCAAAGAGCCAAGGCCCCACAGACATCAAATGTACTAATTATTTGCATATAAAGCTCTCATTGAAGCTAACATTGAATATATGACTGTTCTGTGAGTTTCACATGTAGAATACTTGGTAATATCTTCCAGAGGGAGAGATTTAAAAACTCGAAGCAAAAAGAAAAAGAAACAAAAGAAATTCTTTGTCTGAAAATCTATAGTTTATCTGTAAGGGGCAAGAGGGCTCCTTCCACTTATATTTATTCTAGTTGCTTACAAAAAAGGTAAAAGAAATTACTCAGCTCAAGAATCAGAGAAAATAATTTCCCCTCTGAAAAGAACTAACCAACCTTGTAAGTGTGAGGGATGGCATTTGGACTTGTTAGAGACAGAACATACTCAACATAAGAGACACTAGCACAATACAGCTACTGTACAACTCCTACCATTAGTGTAAAAAGTACATCAGCAGTTAATGTGTGAAACATTTAATAAAAAATTAATAATGTTGATATTAACAATATACCACTTAACTTCAGTATGTTAGCAATATTGACAGTATCACAACATACACACATGCCATTAAAATACTGCTTTAGTGCTTGATAGGAGTTATATGCATATATATTATTCCTTACCATCTGCGTAAGGCAGGTTAATTTTGTATTGGTCATATACCAAAACATCTCCTGAATGAGTCAGAGTCACTTGCCTCTTGGGGTCCTGCTTAAGAATAAAGCTGATTGATTGGATACATGATCCATCCTGGTTCTACAAGTAAAAGCAAAATAAATTAAAAAAAAGTAGGATGAATGTTAAATAAGAGTGCAAGTAAAGCTATAATTACTGGGGAATTGAAAATTTTCAGTTGTATCTTGCTTCTTAGCAGAGTGCATACAGCTTTACAGCTAAGTAAGAAAACTTACTGTTTTGAATTATTTCACACGTATGTTAAAATCTAACACTAACCTGTTATGCAAATACAGCGCAAAAGTGGGATTTGGAAAGAGAAACTTAAACAATTCTTACATAGCTTAGTACAAAGACACCTGTAATTCATGAGACGCCCCGATTAAAGACCCACTGAGGCTGAGTTAATGTTCACAAACAAGGCTGCATTATCCACATAGCAGTGCACAGAAATCCAAATCTGTACTTCAATTTAAAGTGTTCTGATATACCCAGCTTCTTTTAAAGCATATTTAAGATATAAAATTCTTTTAAAGGCAAACAGTAATGAAAGACAGAAGCATCTTGTGAATCATTATTTAAAATACATTTAAGTTCATTGTTTCTGAGGAGTTGTAAAGTATGTTCGTAAGCTCCCTGGATGAATATTGACGAAAGAAAGGCAGTAACATGGCAGCATACAATATCAGAAGATCCAAATGGCCCAACCTGCTTATTGTTACTACCATTGCTTATTATTATTTCTGTTTCAGTTCCCTAAGTCAAAACATCATATAGAAAAAACATGAAAAGGAATACTGCATTTCAGTTGGGATGAAACATACTCCAAAGAAATCCTAGATCAACCTCATCTACCTTTCCTACACCCACCCTCTTCAGTGGCACTTAACTGTCAGCATTACCAAAAGCAGCTAATTGACTGAAATGCTAGTATCTGACAACATAAAGAAGCTACATGGCCTACACAAGAAAATTTCACAACAGCTTAAAGATCAAGAACTGAATTCAAGTTAACTGCTTTCATCAAAACGGAAGTTAACTATAGTCCACTTGGTTCTACGTTAGTTAAGCTAGATTTTTTTTTTTCCATTCAAGTAAGTCCTGAAACAGGTTAGTACCTAAATGAAGTCCCAAACTCCTTAGTATTCCTGCATGTTTTATGCTACTGTAGTGATCTTCAACTAGACACCATACCACACAGGTGGAAAGCAGCACAAGTCTGAGGGCTACTGAATATTGAATGTTTTCAACATATCACAGTAACAAATACACCTGTACTAAATAACATGGAAACTAGCCAGATAGATGATTAACTTGTATCAAAGTTTCCAGGCCAGGACTTCCACCTTTCAGAGTAACTACAGGTACTTTGGCTTTCAACACCACTAAGGAAAGAATGCTTATTAAAGCATGTTTATTAATCACAGAATATTCACAGACTTAACAGAATGAGTTTGATCACCACTTAATTTTTTAAAAAGAAAAATGTTATATCACAGAGAATCAGGCACAGAGGTGGATCGAGAGATGACTTGAACGTTACCATGTCAGCATCCTGTAATTCACCTTGCTATATGCTGAAAAACATCAGAATCACAGTCCACCTTCTACTTTCTCTTTGCTCTAGGAAGGAATTAAGTTTCTGCCACTCCTGCTGTACTCTTTACTATAGCTTCTGAGACATCAGCTTATTTACATTGGCTTAGCACGGCTGGATAAAGTTAAGAGACTGTCTGTTCCCTGCCATCTACAGAGGAAAGGGGGAAGCACCCAACTGCTGTTTCTTCTGTTCAGCCTCCTTCACTGCAAGACCTTGTAACCATTTAAAAGGTATTCCAGAACAACAATAAAAATTGGGTCCGGCCACTTTTGGCATACTATTTGTTCATTTTACTCTCATCTTGATTATGCATCTTCAATGTCTCATAATGTCTTATATACCAAAACATACACAGACATATCTGAAATCACTTGGTCAAAGAGCAGCATAGGTCTCACTGTAGGAAATTTCTCATTGATTGCATCTGGCCCTGAGCTGCAGTCCAGAAGTGTCCAGCAGAGGTGCAGGAGGCTGCACTTTCCAGTCCCACTGCCTACACTGAAGGCATAACTGATGATGAAACAGTAAAATGTTAAGCATCTTCAGTGCTGAAAGGGGCACTGAACAAGATTTAGTTAAAATATCCTTACCTTTGGACAGTCACACTAACAGCAAAATTATACCATGAATAGCACCATTCACAGTGCAAACAGATTAGGAAGTTCAGTTCAAATATTTACACTTTTATCCAACTCTCACTGACTTTCACTGGGACTCGCCTAATACAGGGCAAATGTCACCCTACTCGTTGAAAACAATTACTAGAGCTGCAAGGATCTCTGAACACTACCATGTGGCTTTGACAGATGCTGAACTAGCATGGAGCAGATCATGTCAGTCCTTCAAGTACCATGGACACAAAAGTACACACAGTGGTGTGTAAAGATTAAAAACTACATTCATAATTTCCCTGCCTCTAAATAACAGTGCAACACTGATCTTTCACCAACAGCTGAAATGATAAAATGAAACTTAAAGATAGTGAATTATAAAAATAACTGGAGATATTTCATCAGCTCAACCAGCTCTCCTGGACTGATGGTGGAGACAGATACCTGTATTGTAGCTTATCTTGTTGTCCTGCCTCTTTACTAAGAAATTAGGTTTCTGTGCATATCATTCAGCAACAGTGGCTATAAATTGACAATTTTGTCAACCTTTTAAGAAGCTGAAAATAAAAGAATACCAGCTGGTATGCATAGCGGACCAGAGCCAAGAGAACAACCCTCCATAGTACATACATTACTACACAATATCGACAAAAGCTTTATTATTCCTTCATGCTGAAACTAAAGGAGAAATTCTGCCTGACAATTATTCTCTGTTCCAATGAACTGCTTCTTTCACAGCACTGCCCCTGCCAACTTTCAGCAGGTGTTTTCACAGGAATGGACATTTCTCTTACTAGACACAAAAAAAATTTCTATATTCAGAAGACCTTCTCATCATACAAACTACAAAGCCAGGGAGGTTGTCACCTGAAACTCAGATAAGGTTAAGCTGTGCTGATCACTTGACTGATTCTCCTTCCAGAAAGTGCTTAAACAAAATTTCACATCGTTTTGAAATAACTTGTTGCCTGATGACTGTTTATGTCACCAGGTCTAAGGCTCTAGATGACTGGATTCTTTGTGATTCAGAGAGCTAAAATCTCCCCAGGTATTTTCTTTCTACATTTTTTAATCTGCTTGAATGAGATGGGACTGATAAGGTTTTTTTTTTTTTAAAAAAAGCACACAAAATCTCAAACCATCAAGAAATATGAGATTCTGCACTACGAATCTTTTAGCTTCCCATTTCAATTCATTAGTTTTTATAAATGGGAAAAAGATAATGGATGGTGCCTAGGGAACTGTAAAGCAGCTCTTCTGCCAAGTAGTACCAGCTAGTTGATAGTTAGATACTTGAATAGCTGCACTGAAGCCCCACATTCTTCCATTATAGTACACAAACTGTTCTCACTACCCACTCACCACTTGTACATTGATAATTAAATTAGCAGCACTTAGCTCTGGAACATAGCACATAAGCCTCTGATCACCCACCTGGCTGTTAATGTCCAGAATGCTTCACTCAAACCTCTGTAAAAGTCTATATGTATTAAAGACTGATCAGGCTAGCTTTGTTAAAGGCTAGGTGAAATATGAAGCCCAACATGTATTAAAAGCAAAGAGAATCTGTTTTTTCACCTACAAACCACAGAGACATAGAGACACATTAAGCAAAGTCCCTAAGTCAGGGTGAAGAAGATGCAAGGCTTTTTGCAGTCTCACAAGTGCTGCAGAAAGCCAACTAATTTGATTATCACTTTCCCCAATAAAAGCATCACAACTACTAAACCAAAAGGCACATTTCTGTCTGTTTTGCAGAGAGGTAAGTGTTCTGTAATACAAAAGGGAATGAGACCCACAATACATATCCTGCACAGTACCATAGCAGATATTTGCTCCAGACCTCTGTTGTCCATTGATGGGCTTTTCAACAGGTCAGGCTGAAAGGTATCTCACTGTGGGCTTCTGCAAGAAGTCAATCATGCCTCAACTTTCATTTGATAAAAAAAGTTGCCTAGAGTGTTTCTTTGGGGATCCCCTTTGCTTATCTTCAACCATACAGTACAGGACACAGCTTCAATATACAACCACCTTTCTCAAGCTTGTTGGACTCTGAAGTTCTGAGGATATTATGCTGACTGAATAGATTTATGCCTATGTTGAATGCCTATGTTTATGTTTTGTTTCACAGCTATTCTATTTTTTTTTTCTTCTAGATGATGATACTGACTTAGTCAGCTCCTCAGGATCCCAAGGTTAGCACAGAATGAAGCCAGCTAAACTCATTAAAATCAGAATAAGCTAAGTCAAATATGCATTTGAAGTAGGAAGTTGTAGCAATGATCAGATATATTGCATCTTGAAACAGTCTCAACCTTCCCATAAATAGGAAATACTAGCAGGATTCACCAGATTCTTCCCAACCCAAAGGACAATGCACACAGAGGTTAAAGTCTAGAAGTTTTTTTAATGTGCATGTCCTCGCCAAGATCTCATTTCACAGACCCCACTGTAACTCTTCTACCTCAAGGAGCTAGAGGCTATTAGAGCGTCATAAAGCAGTCGTATTTACAACACAGGAATCCACTTTTTCATCACTGGTAACCTCTATGCCCTGTCACATACCTCGCCTGATGTCCTGATACACTTCTCCTAGGAACCATAGGAGACATAGTGGGACATTTACTTGTGGATCATCTGGTTGGAAAATATATTTGGTCTCTATCCAATTAAGCTATTTTTCTTACCTCTCAACTTTTATCACTGAGATGAGAAGGCGACTCCACGCACTCAGTCTCCCATCTCTTACCTGGATTGCAAATAAATCATTTCTACTATAATAAACTTGTCTATGCCACTTTAACATGACTTCCTTCTGCTTAAAGGTCTTCTCTGTCGTACAGAGAAGTAGGTTTTAGTGCACAAGGACAAAAAGATTTTACTGAAATATGCATTTAGAAAGTGTGGCATGACAACTTATATGGCCATTTTTCTTCCCAAGGAAATCTCAAATGCACGAACAATACAAGCTGCAGAGAAGAATTAATGCAATCATTAGTGTAAAAGGACTTATAGAATCACACATGTATTTAGAACACAAAAGAAAACTACTATAATGAAGTGTAAGTGGTTACCTCCACAGAAGTAAAAAGTAATGGTGCTAAATCTGATTTTATGCGAAGTACGTAACTGCAACAATATGGAAGCTCATCATGCTAAGAACTAAAATTTGGGCCTAACACACAGTAGATGGTCTAGAAACACAGCAAGGAGAGTCACATTTAAGTCTATATACACTTCAAGTATTTGTACAGTTGCTCCTGGGTGAAAATCGTTACACAGGACGACTGGAGACAGAACATAAATCTGGCCAAGATATAAAATTTAACATCTTGCTCCTACAGCAAGTCCAGCAGCTTAGTAGCTTTATGACCCTAATACAAATGTGGGCCAAATTCTGCCCTTACGTGCACATGTAGAACTCAAAGTCAGTGAGAAAAGCACAACTCCAGAAAACAGCTCAACTCAGTCAACTACACTTCTCACACCACTTATATACGTTTAAAATCTATTCTAACTTGCCTTAACTTTCTCAAAATTACAAGACCTATCAAGACTGTAATAAGAATGAAATGCTGTAGTGAAAATCTTACCAGTGTTCCATACCTCACACGTACAACGTTATAATACATGCTCAGAAATCCACATACACAACAAAAAAGGAAAGAGAATGGGTCTCGGACATAAAGCAGATTAAATATTTGGTTGCTTCTGTGTACAGTATCAGAAGCTTTCAAATATAAAGTAGGAGCACCCTTAGTATCAGCTATACATATGCACATGCATGTTTGGCTGAAATCAATTGTACAGGATACCAACTTAACAACAGTAACAGATGCATACATATACCCAAAGTCCGAGATAGCTGTCCCCAAAACTATCCCAAGTTTTTCATATCAATGTAAGTAAAAGTGAATTTCAAGCTGCAAAAACAAAGCTGAAAGAGAAATCTATATTCAAGGCACAAAAAAGTTATTCTTTCTTCAAGCAGTAATAAGCAGTAGGCTTATTTTGTGCTGGCTGCAAATCCACAAAGATGTACTCAGAAAGCTCAAGAAAACAAGTCATCATCCAGGGTTTGCTGCAGGAACCACCATATGCTACTGAATGACCTCAGTGAACACTGAATCAGAACGCTAGCATAATCTTTTCTATTTATCGCAAGCAAACATGAGAATTTAGGTACAGACTTCCTCTGCACTGCTGTTCAACTATTTCAACATTAAGGAAAATTGTTGCTACTAATTAATTTTAATATATTCAATGGCAGGTAGCTTTCATTTTTTTTTTTTTTTTTAATACTTTTTCCCCCTGATTAATAAACCCTTCAGGATACAAACATTACAAAAAGGTTCTAAGCCTTACCTGTCCACAAGGAGCATTTTGCAAGGATATGGTAAACGCTTCAGACGTACGGCTTTTTGCTAGAATATATTGGCAAGTAGCTTGGAAAGTATATTTGCGCCCATCAAATGTCATGAAATGAATGTCTCCTGAAACTGAGCATTCAGCTGACAAACACAAATAATGCATTTAAGTATTCAGAAAAGACAGTGTAGTCTCAACAGTTATTACTCCTGTAGAGTTCATACACTCTGATACATACTACAATTTATAAAATTGTATTTTATAAATTATATTACATAATATATTATAACCAGGTACTAGGAACATGGTTAGGAACTGAACCTTATCCTTACTTTTGTTATGGAGTTCCTACCTGATGCCAGGCCAGGATACCTAAACAATTCTTCCCCCAGAAGGAGGCAACATGTGTGATCCTTACGTTCTGGGTATTTGATTTGTGGCTCTAAAAACTGATTTGCAGAAACATTAAGCACTCCCACAGTTAGCTGATAACTCTGAGACCAGTGCTTGAGTCTACTGGCAGCTATAAGAACCATGAGGCCATGGGTACCTTTAACATGCAAAATCCTTTGGACCTTAATCTCTGTAGCTTAGCCTCCTATCTGTGAAGCGAGAATAACATTCCTTATTCTACAGGCATGTTGTGAAAATAATTAACTGATAATTTGTACAATACCTACATACTATATCACTAGCCAGCAATACTGTGGGGGAAAAAAGTAATCCTGCCATAAGTCTGTCAAGTGAAGACTGCAGAGGAAACTTAAGTTGAATGACAAGAATGACCAGGTAGTGCCATCTACCAGAGACATTCTAGTGATGTATAGGGAGACACATTACTGTGCTAAGCTGAAAGGCAGATGCCTGCTATTCAGACCATTTTAATATTTAATCTACTGTGTATAGATGCGTTTATATGTAGATAGAAATAAAAATACAAATTATATAGTGAAATATCACATTAGGATCTAACAGTAATATTTTACCCCAAGTAAAAATTTGGTTATTAAAAAAAGTTAAGTATTCAAGACTTTCACATACCTGGACATGTAAGATTTGTACAAATCCACTTTCCTCCAGTGCAAGTGCTGAAATAAAAACAAAAAGGTTTCATACTTCTTTCTTTTTTGGTGAAGTATATATGGCTGTCCCTCATTTGTTCTTCCTGGATTCCTTCTCTATGAAATGAGCACCAAGTGTCTTGAGTCTCACAAAAGAGTGCAACAGAGCTATCACAGTCACTAGAATGCCTGGAAGCTGTGGCAAGAGCTTGTTATGAGGATATGATCAGGTGAAATTTCATCCATGCATCCAGTAACACTTTTATTTCTTTTTAGCTCCTTGATAATCATTATAAAAGTTAAGGATGATTAAAATTGAGAAGAATAAAACACAAGCAATTTGAATCCTATTACTTTAAAACAATAGAACTGTTATGAAAAAAAGAAGTTGCACATCTACATGCTCATCCTTTTTCTTCAATTAAGTTGATCCAATAAAAGGCATTATCTCTTCCTACAAACTTTTCTTTCCAATGTATAAAATTAACTTCAAAATTCCTAAAACAGCAGCTTAGTGTCAATATTGACATTAGGCTCTTTGTGTCCAAGCGAGACAACACAAACAGGAGATTAATTAAAGTCAAAGTAATTCTCCTGTTAAGACTTTGAATTCTAGATTCCTTTTAGTTTGAAGCAGAGTTCAAGGTGAAAAGAGTACTAAACATCACAGTATTCTCTGCAACATCTGTCATTTGCTCTTCTTCCACATTAATAGTTCTATAGTTCCTTTTATCTTTCCCTTCATTGCAAAACATATACGGAACAACAGTTTTTGTATGTAGAAACAGTGAGGACTTACCAACTCTATTCAATTTTTAACTGAAATAGGCCTTAAACAAGTTGTCTCTCATGACCATGAAATATTAAGTCCACAGCATAAAAAGAAAAATTACTAACCAGTTATTACATTCCTCATAAACCACTGAACCCATTTCAAAGAAACTTCCATGGTAGTCACAAGGACAGTCCACAGGTTTGACACACAAATCATTTTCATAAATTAAGCCTAGAAGAAATAAAACAACAAGAAAAAAGTGAAATATCTGTACACGTGGCTGATGGAGCACTAACAAGTATACCCAAGAACAACACAAATGGTCATGTATGATAATAAAACTCTAGATTATTTGGTAGTCATTTTTGCAGGACAAGTGTGCACTTGAATTATATTAAATAAAAGTACATTACATGGACCAAGTCCCTAAATTGCTTGAGATACATTAACAATAGTATGAATAACAGGTATTCAATGTTGGGGAAGAGGGGGTGGAAACCACTCACAAAAAAACCAAACACACACACACAAACATCAAACCATGCTGCTTTGAGTACCTTTGGCTTCTTTTCTGACACCTTTACAAATCTTTGCCTCTATGTTTTAAGGCACTGTTTGGTCCGTATTTTACTATAATGGTTTTTTGCTTTTTTTTTGTTTTAAAATCATTCCAATTTTAGAGAACCAAAGGCTAAAAGACTTTACTAGCCCATAAAAGATAAAATGTATGACAAAGATTATTATACTTATAAATCATCAGGATATGTATAAGAGCCAGGACTTGAGATCAATGGCATAACTTTCTCTGTCCTCTTTCAGACAGAATTATGTACCCAAGAGAAGCCAGTAATAAGGGGAAAACTGGACATCGAAGTATATTTTGGTAATAAGGGTAAAGTTTTGCTATAGGCCACATGGGTAAATACCTCACTTGCCAGAACCATACAACAGTGTAAGAATCTCAGTATCAGAACCTGTTTCTGGCCACATGAATGAGTTTTAGTCATGTCACGTTTTGAGCTCTCCTAAGCACCTGACCTTGCAGACATTCTTCAGGAAATAAACCCAAACCACAAACCACACACCAAAAGAAAGAGAGCAGCAACCAGAATTAGGAGGATGGCTGCCCTGTCAACAACAGAGCAAACCCCATTTTTCATTCAAATTGTGGAGCTCTATGGCTAGAATGTGGATCTGTGCTGAAACCTATTCCCATTTGTTAGAGGGAGGAAAAGGATCTTGTCAGTTACAAGGAAAACAAGGTCATTCATCCACACTTTGTTGGCACTGGGTTTATAAAGAGCTCCTGTGAATGCCTTAATCTAGCCAGGCCATGTAGGTATGTAAACTTGGGGGAGAACAATCTGAAAGTTATATGGAATCAAATATGTATTTGAGAAGCAAAACTTACCATCTGGACAGTAGCATCCATCAATGCAGGGAAGCTCACTGTCAATGCACTGTGATTGTTGATGACATGAAACAGGGCAACAACTGATGCATTCATTGTAGGTCAAGGGTTCAGCACAGGTAATAACTAAAAAATACAAACAGGTAGAGAAATGAAAAGGTATTGTGCTACCGCCTCAGGGCTTAAATAGATTGCACATGTTTCTTTCAGGTATTTACTTTTTAGTCAGTCAACTGAGTATCTGTTGTCTAGAATAATGAAACAATGCCTTTCATAACACACACAGAATATACATATATTAATATTCTGTCCATTAAAGGTGCACTGAGAAGGAATAATCTTAAATTACACCAAGGGAGACTCAGGGAAACTTTCTTACAGCAGAGCTATTTAGATACTCAGACCAGCATAGGAAGTAGTAGAATATCCATTAACAAGCATTTTTGGAAACACAGGGGAAATCTTCTGTCATGAATGACAAAGCAGTTTTGGTCCTGTATTCCAGACAGGCAGACAAATTAGATGATCTCTTTCAAACTTACTTTCTGTGACTTCTAAGATGGAGACTTACGCAAGTATAATTCAGATTTATTTTTAACACTCATGACACACATTTTATATATCAGAAAGCCGTGAAGACTTTGACAGTATTTGAAAGAGTAGCTCTGTAAAAAAACAAATGGTTAATCATCTTAAAGAAGCTCTGATGTTTTAGTATGAAGGTTCTTAAAACACATTCTAATAAGCTTAGTGCTTTAAATACATTCAGTACAAATTACACATATAAAAAAGAAATTCCATCGCATTTATGCAGCCTCGAAGTGAGTCCATAGTTATGCTTTCATTGAGAACTATATGAGTGCAAAATAGGAGGAAGGACAAAGTAGTAAAAGTATGAAGGGCACTCTTAAAAATACAACTACTAAGCAGTATTTCCAAGTACAAAAGCATCTGCATACCACACTGCTGAAAGTGCATTCGCCATCCATGAAGTGGCTTTCCTGCTTGGGCACATGCCCTGGCGTATTCAGTTAGTGCTCGACACCAAGTTGCATTATCAACTGCTGACCTTACACAAATAAAAATTGACATATTATTTTCTATGTACATTCAAACATGCAATCATAACCTCATGAGTGCTCGTGCATTGCACACAACCACGTTGTTTGAATCTACTTCAATAATGTTCTAAAGTACTATGTTGTTTGGCTAGGTTAAAAGTCTTAAATGGGTAAGACATTGTGCCACACTTGAAGACAGGTCATCAATATATTTGAGACCTGATGCTAATTTCCTGAAAAAAATCCATGAAAACCAGAGATACAGCAGTATAAACAGACCTGAATAAAGGTCTTGTTTTTTACAAAAGGAATAACATCCTTCAGAAAACTCACAAGAAGAAAGTGTAAGATTTCCACCAGTGAGTCACCACGGTACAAGAAATGGAAATTATCTTCTCCTGTCCTACCTGTTAATTTAACTAGTCAAAACTGCTCAGGCAAGGAGCATAGCAGGTTGTGAAATGATAGCATAAATTCAAATAGTAATCAAATTCCTCTTTTCATTGGATTAACATATGGCTTACGGATGCCAGACTGATCTATTCACTATTACTTTTCATTAAGGTTAGAAATACTAATGATGTTGCACATTCAGAATCAAAACAGATGCCATATTCAAGGGAAGGTACACTAACAAATTATGAAAATATCTGGGCCTGATTTTGGTCATCCTTACACCAAAGAAAACAAGAACAACTCCACAGAAATTTCTGGCAGTAAAGCTAGAAAAAGTGAGAAAAGCAAGATAATAAAAGAATGTTAGATAAAAAACTGATACGCAGAAAAAGACACACATTAGTTCTGTTGACATTTACAATTCATTCTCATGATTGAAGGACAATGTTTTTTATAGCAGCTTTGGAATTACCCAAAAACATTCACTCACATGCAAAGATCATTGGCGCAGCTTGCCATAAAAGGAACCGGACTCACATATTCATGACATTGTTCAAACGGGGTATGTAACAGGATATTACACAGAGTGTATGCCCTCTGTAATGAATGAGACAGCTGTTGTGAAGAGAAGGTTTTCAAAAATAAACCTAAGCAGAATTGAATACTATGGAAAGTCAGAACAGACATCTCAGTCTGTGACTAGGAGAATACTATGGAAAAATCAGAACAGACATCTCAGTCTGTGACTAGGAGTCACTTTCCTCTCATCAACTAGAAGCAGTGGCTAGCAACATATTGCTCTCCATGCCAGAGTATTCATAACATTGAATCTTTTATCCAAGGTCATACCAATGGGAGTAAAACATATCCCTTCCCCAAGAAAGGCATAGACCATATTGCAGCTAAGCACAGATGACCTGAAATAGTCTTAATTTTAGTTAAATTACACAGTAAAAGGCAACAGAAATAGAACATGCCTGGCATCAGCTTTAGTTTCAAATCAGGGCTGTATCTTGAAAATATTACTTAAAAGGAAAAAACACTTCAATGTGATGGACAAAAGTAACAATTTATTTTTTAAACACTGGCAAATTAACTGTGCTCTCATTCTGGTTTTGCCTGTCTGCTTCTTTCTATCCTTCCTAAGGGAAGGAATGGGAACCAGCTCTAGAATGCACCTCTACTTTACAACTTTTCACTCATTTAGCCCCAGATTCAAAGTACTTCTACTGGCTGCTATGCAGACAATATAACATTTGAAGAGATCAAGAATTAATTTATAAACTCATACAGAAGAAAACTGGGGGGAAAAGGAGAGGACAAGGGAAGCTCTGCTGCAGCAATCATTTTAATCCACCTCTTCAAAGAAGAACTGAGAATATTTCCAATCTCCTTCAAAGCGTTAAGTCAAATTCTCGCTTTAATTAGAACCAGCAACTATTGTAATAACCCTTTTGTGTTGATCCAAACCTGTAGAGATTCATGGCTTTGTGTCAGGCAGGGTGGTTCATTGAGAAGAGATTTATCCCAATTGGGTGTTCCTTCTGGAGGATTTTCCTGCCAACTCTCTACGAATTCTGTTACATCATCTGTCAGTTTTCCTAAACAAGACACACACACAGTCACACAGTGACTTGGAACAACAACAGCGTTTCTATAGGATTTCCCAAGGAAACATCTCAATAATCAAAACATCACATTAAGCAGAGCGCACCAAACCCTTCCTACAACTAAATGAATCAGCTGTTAGTCTGAAGACAATCTGGTCCTTTTAAGAAACAAAAATACTTTTAAAAGGGACTACAGTAGGAAGGCTTTAGAATGGCAGAAAGAAGCTTACTCATGCGATTTGGCAAGGAAGGACTTTAGGGAGCAGGACTGTGCCTGCTGTAGTCCTTGAATGGAAGAAAGGAAAGAAAAGCTGTAATAAACTGTATATACATAGGTCTATACTGTTACTTTATATGAAACTCCGAACAGAGAATCTAAAACCCAAGAAAGATAAGGCATTCCTGGGTCACTGCAAGGAGACAAATGATTGTATACATTAACCAAGTAAAGGTGTGACTTTTTCACATAAGTAGAAATGTCCGTGCTAGCTTTAAACTAGCTAAGAAAGCTATTATCTATCATAGACAAGTGGTGACATTGATTACTACTTGGATTACCCCACGAACGTGTATCTTGCCATATCTTTATTACTACTGCTCCCCAACCTAATTGGATAAAGCTAGTATGCAGTGTATTGACTTGTGCTGCAATCACAGCTTTACGTGACTGAGATATCCTGAGAAAGGTGAGAGGGTAGAGGAAAGTCTCTGAAGGCAATGAGGACAATGAGCTATTGATGTTGGTATTATTTTAAGCATTTTTATTTAGTGAGCAAACTATTCAATGGGGGTAAGAGCTGATACTAGTGCAGGGCTGATGCTTTCTAAAATTGAGTGGCACACTTAAACAACAGAGGAAACCTACTACATATTGTACTCTGAGCTTTGAAGTAGTACTCTACAGAAAGACCCTAATTTTAAAGAGGAGGAGCAGAGAGTTAAACAGACCAAAGCAATGATTTCCAGAAGTTTTTATCATCCAACTTGAGATACCTTTCAAGGGGCCTGATTTTTTCCCCTGGTTCTTTTTATTTTATAGAGGACTTCACTCAGTATTTACTGAAAGCCAAGACTCTAGGAATTATCTGAAGTTGGTATCCGAGAATCACTGGTCACTTCTGAAACTGCTAGCATAAATGAAGTGCCAGACCAAACGAGATTTGGCAGTCTTCATCGATTTGATTTACTGATTAAAATTATAGATTTATTTCCAATAGCAGTATCTCAAGCTTCCACAGGCTTCTATATAAAATTGCTAAGAGGGCAGTGAACATTTAAAAGTAGATTTTACCTTTCAAGACCTAGGAAACTGAAGTACAAATATCATTGTAGCTAATGGAGTAAGACAGCTTTTTGTCATGCTTTTTAAAGATCTTCCTCCTCAGAGCCCCATTTATATTGAAATTGGCCCTCTTCACTAACAATATCATCTACCAGAAGTATTTCCGTATCATATTTTCCATTTCAAGAGTTGCCCATCTTATATTCAATTAGCATTACAATTGACAACTAAGCAAAGTAACATTTAGTTCACCTGAAAAAAAAACCTGTATTAAACACAAGAGGAAGTATTTTAAATACTCACCATAACTAGTTTCAAGATCATCCTGCAGGATAGCATTATTGTTTCCACACAGTCCATGTGTTTTGCCCAGATACTCTGGTGCCATTTTGATATACGCTGCAGACTTACCATCCCAAGCCAGAGTAAAGGCATACTGGTGCCTGACTAGGAAGTATCCAGCTAGCTTCTGGATGTGTAAGTTTCCAATACTATAAGGTAACTGTACTCTGAGAAATGAGACAGAATCAAAAACAACTTTAGATGAGAAGATATCACTATTAAAAATAAATTACTTGCTGATTTAATGACTTCCTCATCGATCGGAAAACCCCCGACATACATATTGAGTAATTCCACTAAAAAAGATGAATTTGCAAATAAAAGCAAAAATCAAAGGATCAGTGTCAGCAGTTATGCTTCTTAATACTATGTACCATTCATTTAGATAACACCTTCAGACACTACTCTGTGGATGGGGAGTAATTACTACAGCTGTGGTCTGGATAGTTGGGGTTTTTTAAGCTACCAACAAATAAGTGATCTAGTTTACATCTCTGTTATCAAATCAGTATCATGAGATTAGTTCCAGCGTAACTACAGCATCAGAAACATGAGTGCAATTACCCAAATCCTTTATAGGTGACTTCACTGCTCATCTTGATCTGTTCACCTCCAGAAAAGAATAAACTAATGGACCTTTTGCAGGAGTAAGGAGAAGAATGGCATTCAGGATCATTATTCACCTGCCAAATAAAATTACTAGTATCAGAGTCAAGATTTTAATCAAACTCTTTGTAACCCATGTTACACAACTAATACTCCCAATCCCACCCTCAGCATGTGAACAAGTAGTTTGGTCCCACTCTTCCCCAAAAACTTGAGTACAATGAGCACTCTTTTAGAGCAGTCTTTTCACACCAGCAGCAGGTTCTGATAGTACACACATCAGTTTCCTTCCAGCTATTTACATTTTGTGCTATAGTAACTGGTAGCCCACATTACATTAGAATTACATTTAGATTACATTCTAGAACCCCATATTATCATCACAAGTTATTTTTAATCTCTAAATACTAATACATTATTAGCAAGCTCAGCAACAGCTAAAAGGAACGTATAAGTGCAGTCCCCTACCTGTATGGAAAAACTCTGTTCATCTAATTCAGTATGTCTCACAAGCGCATATGTGGATTTCCCAGAAAAATAATAATAGAGTCCATCAAAAGTTTCGAAATTATATTGGCCCCATGTTCTGCATATATGATCTCTTTCAGCACCTGTATTATACACTAACAAAAGGAGAGTCACTTGAGAAGTACCACTGGTTTTTGGATTCGATCTGTAGTTGAGATGTATGTATGTGGTATGCTATGAAATACCACCACAGAAAAGAGGGAAAAATACTAAGGCATGACAGAACCTTTAGGTAGAGGGTAGTCATTCTTGTAGCTGTGGGAACCAGAGTACAATCCCAGAAACCCAGTTAGTTTTCTCTCTCTACACACCTGTCTGGCATCTTGGTCCAGTTGCATTAAACCGACTGCAGTTGCACAGCTCTCTGTAGACACACTCACCTCCATTAAAACACGTAAATGAATCTGAGTGCAAAAAACAAGGCATATTAAAAATAAATTATGATAATTTTCATTCTTAAGACCCAGTTCTGTCACCGAATGTAACTCCATGAATGACAGGAGATGCTGCCTTAGCATTTAAACATCCAGGAGAATCCCACAGGCCTCCACAAACAGGAAACATACTGCAAAAGCTTCACCTCAAGAAATACCTCAGATAAAGTAAATCTATTGCACATTTAGAGAAGCCTAATCAAAATAGCTGTGATATCTGTTAGTCTGACATGTTTTTAGTCCCCTAAGCAATGAAGAGGAAGTGAACAAGTATTACACAACAAAAAAGCACAGTGCCTATACCCTCATATAAAAGACTGCTACAAATAACACTGTATGGATAAGATACAGATAAGATACTACCAGGATGAGAGCATACTACCCTAGAAATACAAATGTTGAGATCCCAGCTGCAAATCTTTCAGCTGCCTGCCGTCCTTCCATCTTACAACTTTTAAGTATACCAACCACAAACACTTTCCATAAAGACACAGACCACTGCTCTTGTTTCTAATTTTATTAGAGACAAACTTTTCAGAAAGGAAAAATTTAATGCTCAAGTATAGTGAGCTTACTGTAGAGAAACCAAGCTTCCTAACTTGCAATGACAGGTTTGGGTTTGGGGGAGGGAAATGTGTTGGGTTTTTTTTACTTTTTATTTTCCCTGGGGAGATCCCCATCAAAATCTGACAAAATAAGTTTTCAGTCTAAGGAAAGATGTGCACAAGCAGAAACAAAGCTTTTTGCTACTAAATTTAGACTTTGTGATTAAGTGCTTTTCTAACAATTGTGATATTTTCACTTATTTTGTTAATGTTTGATCTTTTGAAGTTTAAGGCTCTTTAGGAAAGCATTTTAATTTTAATAATTATTATGCAATCATAGTAATTTTTGTGTTTGGAGAACACATACTGAGATTGTATTTGTTGCAGACAAGCAGACAAGTTGCTCAGAAGAAACTATTTCAGAAAGAGACAAACTGAAGACTCAGCCTTCTTGGGTTTTTTATCTTTATAAACACATCATTCTTGAAAAATAATCTTATATATGAATTTTTTAAGTGCTGTCCTGAAAACCAGAATTCACAGGAAAAGATCTTTTCTCCCATTTCAGTAAAACCCTTGCTTATGAAATATCTAATCATCAGTAGCATTCACGGAAGTCCTAACATACCTAGATTACCTTTGGGCTTTTGCAAAAGCTTTGCTGATTCAGGCAAAATAAAGCAAGCTCCACTTCTGACAATCCAAATAGACTCTACCATTGATTTAGTCTTGACAGAATTAGACTTCAGAGGAAAGCCTTCTAAGATACAGACCACTGTTTTATGATGAATCACACCATCTTTAGGTTTTATTCTCACTATTAGGCATTCGCTAAACATACATGAAAAGCGCCAACATCAAAAGTAGATTCTGACTTACTTTACAGAATGGTTGAAGTGGTTTTTTTATAAACTGATTGCAAGGAAACAAATGCTTTCTAACAAGTCAAGAGTTGATCATTGACATCCTACTGCCATTAAATGGATGCTGAATTCTTGATTCCAGCAATAGCAACGGAAAAATAAATCCATTTCAAAGGGTGCTTTCTCCCTACCTAATTTTTCTCCCCTCTTCTAGAAGCTCATTTTATTGATGTTTTACCAATACCAATTTCCTACCAACATCTTTTATATTTTTTTCAACACACACCACCTCCCGGAGAAGGAAAGAAAAAAGAAAAAAAAGAAAAAAGAAAAAAAAAGAGGCCATGCTGAAAAGAACAAGGCAGGTGGACAAAGTTAAGAAGTTTAAGCTCTTTAGGAAAGCATTTTAATTTTAATAATTATTATGCAATCATAGTAATTTTTGTGTTTGGAGAACACATACTGAGATTGTATTTGTTGCAGACAAGCAGACAAGTTGCTCAGAAGAAACTATTTCAGAAAGAGACAAACTGAAGACTCAGCCTTCTTGGGTTTTTTATCTTTATAAACACATCATTCTTGAAAAATAATCTTATATATGAATTTTTTAAGTGCTGTCCTGAAAACCAGAATTCACAGGAAAAGATCTTTTCTCCCATTTCAGTAAAACCCTTGCTTATGAAATATCTAATCATCAGTAGCATTCACGGAAGTCCTAACATACCTAGATTACCTTTGGGCTTTTGCAAAAGCTTTGCTGATTCAGGCAAAATAAAGCAAGCTCCACTTCTGACAATCCAAATAGACTCTACCATTGATTTAGTCTTGACAGAATTAGACTTCAGAGGAAAGCCTTCTAAGATACAGACCACTGTTTTATGATGAATCACACCATCTTTAGGTTTTATTCTCACTATTAGGCATTCGCTAAACATACATGAAAAGCGCCAACATCAAAAGTAGATTCTGACTTACTTTACAGAATGGTTGAAGAGGTTTTTTTATAAACTGATTGCAAGGAAACAAATGCTTTCTAACAAGTCAAGAGTTGATCATTGACATCCTACTGCCATTAAATGGATGCTGAATTCTTGATTCCAGCAATAGCAACGGAAAAATAAATCCATTTCAAAGGGTGCTTTCTCCCTACCTAATTTTTCTCCCCTCTTCTAGAAGCTCATTTTATTGATGTTTTACCAATACCAATTTCCTACCAACATCTTTTATATTTTTTTCAACACACACCACCTCCCGGAGAAGGAAAGAAAAAAGAAAAAAAAGAAAAAAGAAAAAAAAAGAGGCCATGCTGAAAAGAACAAGGCAGGTGGACAAAGTTAAAGAGAACGCTCCTTTGCTTAGCTAGCCCAAATATCTAGCTCCTTTCCCTGCCTGGCCAGCAAGAGTTCAATTTAAAAACTAATGCAAGCACCATGTAGAAAGGTCCCTACTTATTCTGACTGAGCCATCTCATTAACATACTCACAGAGACAAATCTTGTCACTAATGCAAAAGCCTTATTCCTCTTGTCAAGAGAGGCAGACATTGATCTCTTTCATCTTGAGTGTTGCAAGACCTGTGTAATCAGAGCTCAGGTCTCTGTTCTTTGCTTCTCTAAGATTATGCCCTATTGCCTGTCCAGTTACAGTAATCTGCAATTAGGCTGCAAGTCATGTTCCTCTTAGCTGTAGAGGAAGTTAGCCCCCTTTTGATGTTTCGGGTTGAATGATTCCCCTTTAAGCATGGCTCAGGTAACCTGCTTTGAGCCACGTTTGTTCAGATTGTGTACACAGTCAGCTGATCTGGCGACCTGTCCTGGTTTCGGCTGGGATAGATCCTAGTAGCTGGTACAGTGCTGTGTTTTGGGTTTAGTATGGGAATAATGTTGATAGCAATGACTAAAACATCAGTGTTAAGTAGTGCTTACACTAGTCAAGGACTTTTCAGCTTCTCATGCCCTGCCAGCAAGAAGCTGGGAGGGGGCACAGCCAGCACAGCTGACCCAAACTGGCCAAAGGGATATTCCATACCATGTGACATCACGCTTAGTATATAAATGGGGCAGAGTTGGCCAGGGGGGCCACTGCGCAGGGACTGGCTGGGCATTGGTCGGCAGGTGGCAAGCAACTGCATCATGCATCACTTGCTTTGTATATTCTTTTATTATTATTACTATTTTATTTCAATTATTAAACTGTTCTTATCTCAACCCATGAGTTTTCTCACTTTTACACTTCCGATTCTCTCCCCCATCCCACCGCGGGGTGGGGGGGGGGCGGGGGGGAGAGTGAGCGAGCAGCTCTGTGGTGCTCAGTTGCCAGCTGGGGTTAAACCATAACAGAACCCTTGCTGTCACTGGGAAGGATCTCCCTTGCTCCCTTTTAGAGAAAGGGAGTTAGTCAAATCTGAATTGGAAGTCAAATGACTCAATGATGAGCATTTTCCCCTTTATGAAGTTCTGTCTGTGCATGTATGATTCTAGGAAAAACCATGATAAACATAGCTTTTGTATTTGCTTATATCCCTTTTTACATCACTGTAGTATCTTTCCTTACACTGTGCAGAAAAGCTCTGTGTGCAAAGATTAGTTACACTTAACCAGATAATGAGAGGAATACAGTGTTGATTCAGATCACATTTAGTGATCTTACCTACTGCAAACAATGTGGCCTCCTTTAATCATCCAATTTGCTCAATTAACACAGAAATACTTCCTCAGGTATCCAGAATAAATATACTATAACAAAGGGTTCACTCTGATCTTTGTCATTAAAGGACTATAAGCTCCCTAAATAAGCTAATCCATATGATCATATCACAAGTTTAGATCTCTCCTAGGGATATGAGAAACATTGTAACACCTGCAGAAATGGAACAAACAGCAAGACTAAGTGAAGGTTAAAATTAGGAAAGGTTATGGAAGAATATTGTGTCCTTTGTTTACCTGAAAGTGACCTCTATTAAGAAGTCCTTAGCTCCTCTTTTTCTTTTGACTTTATGCCAGTTGAGTGCATTGGGTTGGAATCTGAAATTGAAAACTGGTGAGACTTTTCTAGCAGAAAGTGGTAGGCCTAAGTAACATGAGTCGACTCGCATAAGTAATAATGTGATTTCTAAGCAGTGATGCCATTACAACCTGCAAGTCACTCTGATAATATGACCATTGTTGCCATGAAGCAACTTGTCTCAAATTCCTTCCTTATGGAACAGGGTGAAGACTTGGGATCATCTTATAATGCAGGACTGAATTCTTCTCTGCTCCTCTCATTGCTTAACTACTCTAACCATCTGGTAATTACTTAATAGGCTGCAACCCCACTCAATATGTGGATAGAGTTATTTTAATCCCTTGGGCACCTGGACCTCCATTTAATTCATCCCCCTTTCTTAATTCTTCAGTGTCAGGCTGTGAGAGCCTTCAGGCCAGAGCTAACACCCTATAAGCAGTAGCAGAACCTCATACCCATTATTTATCACAGCCTTTGAAAGAGTGAGACTGTAATCTAGCCTGTTTGCATTTCATTGCAAGTGTTTCTGGAAATAAGTGTCCAAGCTTCACAGGGTTATTACTGTTGTTGCTGTCTGAAAAAGAGATGCTTTAACAGCATCACATAGACCTGACAAGAGGAAGTTCCAAAATCCATTTTGAAATACAGTACAGTCCCACCCAACTCTGGTTGGCCTTTCAAGCGTTCTTCACCTGGGCTCCAAGAACAACTTCTGCCAATTTCATATGGTAACTGTTCAAAGGCATCTTGCATTTTCATCAAAACAAGCATTTATTTTGAAATATTATTATTGCAATATATTTTGTAGGTTTGCATCTATGTGCCCACTTAGTTTATTACACCTTCTTACATTACTACTTCTCTAACGAGTACTTAAGATCTCTTGAACTTATTTCAGTTGCAAACCAACTATATGTCCAGGTTTGCTCACCCATGATCCTGCAATCTTCTAACATGTTTATCAGGAATAAAACAAGTATAGCTGAAAGTAATTTATATAATGTGAAGCCCTTCAGCATGAAGTGAGATGCAGTCACTGAAGAACAGCTCTACCCTTGGAGCACAAAGAGGTAACCACAAAGAAAGCATCTATCTGTATCCCATATAAAGATACTATCTTTACGCGTATCCCATGTAAAGATACTAAATCAGAGAGACATCTAAATTAAAGTTTTTTCACAAAAGTAAAAGCAAGCCAACACATTCAAGAACATGCCTGACTACTCAAATTACTATGCGCATCAACCTTGAAATATTTGATTTTTGTTTTAACCATCATGTCAATCCAGTTGCTCCAACTAAATTTTGACCTCACTGTAATACACCATTATCATCAATACACTATTAATTCTTGAAGATTTGTGACTGATGTGGACCTTCCTATCAGTATTTTTCTGTAAAACAGTAAGCACTTCCTAGTGTTGGAATTCTGTATTTTGTTACTGTTGTTTTTTTTTTTAAAAAGTTTTTCATGCCATGTCTTAATGCAAATCACTGAAGACAGGTTTCCTTTCAGGATATTCATTATTAGATTTACTTGGACAGAAAAGTTGAAGCATGAAAGATTAATTTAGAGATCTTAAAGTGATCAAGTTTTACTTAAGCTAGATAGGTACAAGGTCCAACCTGTTCCCTCAGTTCTTATGATTCTGCATATTTACCAACATTGGCCCAAACAGTTTCAGAGCTCCAGACAGTCATTTACAGAAATAGACAAAGACTTTCCAGTTTTTAAGATTCTTTAAAAGATGACATACTTTGTAAACTTTATGCAAGCATAGAAGAGAGGTCTGCCTGAAGGTTATCAAACTACTAAAAAGATCAATTATTTAAAAAAAAAAAAAATCAGTAAATTTTATTATAAAATGGTATTCTGAAATGGAAAAGTGAAAAAAACCAAAGTAGTTTAGAATAAGAATTTGCAAGAAACATCAACTAGACCTAGAGTAGAAGGTATACTTAAAATTGAATATTTAAACTTGCTGTTAAAATTCTAGAAATTTTATATTTTGTAACTCTGCATAATCCCCATTGCACACTTCCTCTAGAAAGCTTTCAGGTTTTTTACTATGGGAGAACTAATAAACAAATATTTCTTGCATTATCTTTTATCTTTCAATTTCATAGTCGTCTTCTTCACAGCATCTGCCTGTAACAGCACAAGTTTTCTGTGATACAGGCTTCAACAGGATGCAATACAGCCTTGAAATGAGGACAAAGCTCTCATTACACCAGGATGCAAAAATTTTCCTTCTTGAGATTCTGAGGTGAGCGAGTAGGATATAATTTTAATCCTTCAATACTAAGAGCCTTCCAGTTAGCTGCAGATTTTCTGCTCTGGTACATCTTTTGGAATCAGCACACACACATTGTAAAGGACAAGTATATTACTATAGTAACAGTGACTTTAAACATTAAAGCCTCATGCTTGCTACAGCATTTCAACACAAGAAAACTTGAAGTGTTTAACCTGTTAGGAATTTTCAGCAGTAGTTTGAAACTTACTTCCAGAAAAAAATTTGTTTTGCCTGTCCCAGATTCTTAATATGTGTTAGCTCCAAAGTTTTTTTTTTTTACAAGTTTAACAGCTATGTAAACTATGCATTAACTGCTGTAAATTATTCTGATAAAGGTTTCAAAACTCAAATCCCATATTCCCTGGGTACAAGAAACTAACACAAGAATTTATCTCTTGGTGTTTACTTGTACTATACCAACTTTTTTGTTCCATTGACATCTAAGACATTATATGGCTTTCTAAACTGCTTTCAGTTGACTAATACAACACAAAGGTAAAGAGAACTATTGCACAATAAATGATGCACCCATCATACAAAAATTCCACTTAAAACATGTTGGTTTATATACACAGAGTTATAGGAAGCAAGAAAAAAATGTTATTGCAACAAACATTGACTGTAATAGGATGAAATTAAGTCCATTATAATCACAGTTTTCTGTGTATGTCATAGAATAATTTCCATAGAGACATCACTAAACTGGAGAAAGAAGCTGATAACCTACCTTGTTGGTTTAAAAGAAAGAAAAAAAAAGCTTTACTATTTCATATATCCTCAGATTGGTGCAAATCCCAGTCCATGGGCAGAGCTATAGCAGCTTGCATCTCTCTTCAAATAGGAAGGGCCAAAACGAAACTACTGTTCTAAGCATTTAGAGCATGTTACTGAAACTCTTGCATAAAGCAGATCAGGTTGTTCATTTGTTTTGTTTTTAATATGTCTTTCACACACAGACAACAATGGATTCCATTTCCCATGCAGCGTTTACCAGGATTTAAAAAGGAAACTTCCAAGTCTAAGTATTCCATTGTTTAAAGAGTTTAATAATCTTGATTTTATTTGCCTTCGAGTATGGGCAATCATCAATAATTTTTAAAGCATGCCTCCAGCAACATTGTCTTGCCAAAGCAAATACATCAGAAATGGAAAATCATTATGAAATATTTTTGCCCCATAGAAATATGGGGTAGAAAGAAACCAGGAAGTTTATCCTATTACATCTGCAGAGGGCAATGAAACCTAATTCTTGCCATCATAACTACATCCTCCTTTAAAAGCTGAGACATGTAATGTGTTAGCATGAGATACTTGCTACCCATTTCATTCTCCCTCCTTCTATGTTTGTTCTTCCCTTTCTTAAAGATTTCTTAAACAGTCCTTTGAGACCAATCAAGGTAGAGCTCCCTTACCCTGAAGACCTGTATTAGCTATTTTAGGGGTTTTTTCTTCATAAAAATAATTAAATGATGCAGAATATAACAGACAATTGAAGTTATTTCACGTAAAAGCATAAGTAACTTACTAGATGGTCCACATTTCATACTGTGAAGTCTCCTGTTCCAAGATAAGGATATTGTAGCAGATGAAGCATTAGAAACTGCCATTCCAGACACCTTTCAGAAAGAATGAAGAAATCAGCATCTATAACCAAGAAACCTCAAAAAATCTCTTCACGGTCTATCAGTAAATTTACCATTTTTAGTAAGCTCACTGCTTCACATTGGCTTACTAAAAAGTTATCAGAAAACAAGAACTCAATACTTGGGGGGGGGGGGGGGGAACCCGCAGGTTAGTTGTTAACAGCTTAAAAATCAGTCACAGTCACTAGTCATCTGACAGCTTCTAGGTAAATTGGAGGGACAACATTCTTTCACACTGTTTTACCCAAGGATGGTGCATAGTTTAGGTGTGAATATACAAGTTCCTTCCCATCTTCTTGCAAGTGCAAAGTTTTAGCACTTTACTTATAAATTTATGACCTCGTCTACCCCATTTACAGAGAAGTGGGACTAGGTACAAACTCAGTTATTTATACAAAGAGGTACTGTAGATAGTATTTTGGAAATTGCTTTTTAAGATGCAGCTTTGAATGCCCAGGTTCAAGGAAACTGGTGTACAAAGAACCCATCTTAGAGGAAGCATTTTAATGATGGAAAGAAATAGGACAGCACCTGAGCATGTATAACTTGTTTCTTCTCAAAGAAAAATTGTGGAGAATATTATACAAGAGCCAAGATAATTTGTGTATTAGTCAGAAAATAATTTCCATACCAGAAAATATGCTTTAAGGAAATAATATTAACTTGTGGTTTTAGTGCACACAAAACAACCAGTCATGTAAAATGTACTACAATACAGAAGGGAAAGCAGTATCAGCATTGATCTATAAAGGTGCCTTAAAGAGTTCTTCAAAACTTAAATACTTACATTTCCTTAAAAAAAAAAAAAAAGCAATACATCAAATCACAACAGCCAATTCAGCCTATATCATCTACCTGAGAAAACAGAAGAGCAGACCTGCTTAGCCAAGTTACAAAAATCCACTGATATTTATGCAGAAGGGAAAGCAGTATCAGCATTGATCTATAAAGGTGCCTTAAAGAGTTCTTCAAAACTTAAATACTTACATTTCCTTAAAAAAAAAAAAAAAGCAATACATCAAATCACAACAGCCAATTCAGCCTATATCATCTACCTGAGAAAACAGAAGAGCAGACCTGCTTAGCCAAGTTACAAAAATCCACTGATATTTTGTCATGATGTGGTTATATTGCCATGCTCATAACAGGTAGAAGTATACCTCCTAACTAGTATGCCTTTGTTAAAACCACATTGCTCAGCTTCTCCATAACCTCGTATCTTTGTTCTAGAACTACCTAGATCTAGGCTGAGTAACGTTTTTCTCAATTTAACATGAACTTTGCAATCCTCAGAAGCCAATGACTTATGATAGTAAGTTTTTCCTTATTAATGAAGCAACTAATTACATTTACCTAGTTTACTTAATACAGTAACACAAATGTTACAGCCATTTCATATTATTTCTTCACTTCACCTCATGAAGAGCAGCAGCTATATCCTCTAAAACATTCATATTTCAGTGACACATTAATTATAGAATACAGTTTTCATTAAGGAAAATTCAGTGACAAACACAGTATCTGTTAATAAACAGCATTAGCTACAATGTATGATGTCTACAGTGATACAAATAACTGAGCAAAGTATTTCCAAAATAATATTATAAACAACACCAGCTATATCTACATAATTTTACCTAAGAACTTGGTTAGATTTTTTGCATTTAAATACCATACACTAGAACCATACAAATCAAACAGCCCAGTCCTGTGTACGATTCTGTAAAATATTTTTAAAATAGCAGGTGTTTTCTGCATTCTAAATATCTACTTAGACATTTGACTGAAAACTGATCTCAGAAGCCTCGTCATTAACTAAGTCTTCATGGACATAAAATTCTGCAGAGGGCTTAACCACCATCGCTTAGTATTGCTTTACCTCTTCCTCTTGAGGAAGCTTATTAAAAGAAAGAACATGTAAAAATGCATTATTGTTAGTTTTAGAGAGCTCAAATGGCTAGAACAACTACTCTTCAGGTTCTTACCTTTTTAAAACTAATACTGAATTTTTTTTTTCCGTTCTCCTAAGCATATTTCTTACTGAAGTTTTCTGCTCAGTAGGCTAGCACAGAAGAAAACAAAGAGCCTATTACTGTATCTTGAATTCTTGGGGGGAACCTCAATCCACAAGCATTTGCTCTTACCGGTGGTTGATTTTGTTACCTGTTTGCAGTTATGTAGTACATTTTTCTCTCCACTAAGCTCTTCCCAGAAACAGTGGGGAGTAAGCAGAAAGAAAGGCGACTCCTCTGCAGAGCCACGAACAACAGCTACAAAGCAAGCTTTCTTCTTCCAACCCTCAAACAAGGGAGCAGGAACCACACACCTTAATTATATTGTAGCAACACACCACAAGTGATATACTCGGGTTGCCACGGTAAACCACATTCAAAAACCAGTACTGAGTTGTAACGATCCAATACTGCCAGCTCATTTACTTTTACTGAGAAGCAAAAAGGCTCCCAACAAAGCGATTATTGCTGGATGAGCCAGACCAGACATTGGCTTTCCTTGGAGCAAGAACGCTTCGTGTAACAATTTCTGAACGAGCTGAAGCTCTAGCTACCGTCTTCCCTCACTACTTAAACGCCTTTAAACCCCAAGTTTCCTTCCGTTCACGACTGACACTCTTTATGGCTGGGATAAAACACACATTCAACGCTGTTTGAAAGACAAGTCTTGAAGAATCACAAAGGTTAGAACCGCCATGCGAAATACTGACAGTATCGTGGTAACGTACAGATGTATTCAGGTAAGATATAAGAAACACACTATCCCGATGACAACCAGAACACCCGTCCCTCAGACCGGCGCCGCCAGCCACCCCTCGCAGGGGCCTCTCCAGGCGGCGGGGCAGCGCGGGAAAGCCAGGTGCCATCTTGGGTCACGAGCAACGGCACCCCGTCGCCTCTTCAGCCCTGGTCGCACCGCGGTTCGAGGCAACCGACCGCAGGAACGGGCTGCTCTCCTCGTGGAGGGCTCCTCAGAGAAAAGCCGCACGTCCCGGCGACCTCGTCTCCCCGAGGAGACACCGCAGCTCTCTCCCCAGCGCCCGCCCCCGC